ATTTCTAGTTGTGCCTGACACTTGCGGGAGAAAGGACTCCTCCTTAGCATGCTTGCCATAATGAGTGTTTCATTCCTGGCTTAGTTCAAATGATACCATGTTATAATGTCTACAACTTCCATCAAAATAATTTTATATCCTTAGAAATGTATATTATTATTCCAAAATTACATTTTACAGGAAAATAAACTGACAACCCAGAAAGAATCACATGGAATCATAACCCATTCATCATTCAGAAAACTAAAAATATTCCCAAATGGATTTTCAAAAAACATATAAAGTTATGTACTTAAAAGCTTGATTTCAAACCTAATGCACCCTGGGAAGAATGCCACAAAATAACACAAAACAGGTTTCTGGATAAGCAGAGAACAACTTTCTTCCACTTGACATTTTAGGTCTTTCTCAATGAAAAGCTTCCTGTAAATCAGTGGTGTTTATATTAAAGGATAATAAATCGATAGCTGGAATTTTATTCTAAACCATGGAAAACAAGTCTAACAGAAGCAATCTGTCAAAACTACGAGTAACACAGACTGCTGTATTTAAAATTGTTGAGCATCTCTTCTTTCACCCAGCTTCTACACAAATACTCCATCACAATTAATATGGACAGTTACTAAATGAAATAGAGCAACATTTCAAGAATTTTGTTCCAAGGCTTGCAGAACTTCAGTTCAAAGGCAGCAGGACAAAGTTTGGAACAATGAAAGTAAAGAATAAAATTCCTTCCTGACCAGCCCTGAACCTCCTTTATGGGTCTAGCAAAGAAGACTGATGAATTGGCTACCAAGGCCTCAGTGCAGGATCCCCACATGAACTATTTTTCTAATCCAGAAAATCCGTTCATATTCTTCAGGCACAAAATATATACAGGTCTACCCTAAAACCTGATAAATCGCACCCTCTATTCAAAACACAAATGAATCACCAAAACAAATGGCTTTAAAGTAGATTTTCAAGTATTGCAACTTGCAGCACTAGAGAGCAACTGTGACAGACAATTTGTAAAAGCTCATCCGCATTACCTCAATAGTGGAATACCATGCCTAAAATTAAGTGTTTAGCACTACCTTATCGTGAATGTCCTGCACAGGATGATAGTTTAGTATGACTTAACTACAGACTCCATACAGTTTAACAGCCCTAGAGGTTTATTCACTATCAGTAATATTAAGTTGATGTTACTCTAAACATATAGAAAGCTCCAGGATTTACAATCTGTCAAGCATGCAAATTTAGCATGCCTTCTCTCAGAATCATTATCTTTTTGTACACACTGGCAACCAAGGTCAATTCAACACATATTTACTGTTTTGAAGGTGAGTCAATTACTCTCCACAATAGTAAAATTGACATGACACCTAAATCTTGATATTGCTAACAATGACTAATTCAATTTAAAAAAAGAAAAAAATTCATTCATGGGATGTGTGCATTCCTGGCTAGGCCAACAGTTACTGCCCATATCTAATTGTTGTCAAGAAGGTGATGAGTGGCCTCCCCAAAACACTGCACTGCATGGGGAGTAAGTACACCGCCTGTGCTACTAGGAAGGGAATTCCAGGATTTTTATCCAGTGACAGTGCAGAAAGGATGACACAGTTCCAAATCAAACTGGTATGTGGCTTAGAGGGCAACTTGAAGATGGAAATATGCCCTTGTCCTGCTAGGGGATAGAGGTCATGGGCTTGGAAGAGGTTGTTGAACGAGATTTGGTGAGCTGTTGTACCATGTTTTGTAGATAGTTCATATGGCTGCTACCAAGCAGAGTGAACATTGATGGCATCGACAGGATGCTAATCAAGCGGCTGCTTTGATCTGGATGAGATTGAGCTTTTTGATTGTGGTTGGAGCCGCACTCATCTAAGTAACTGGGGATATGCCATCACACTCCTGACTTGTTCCTCCTTGTAGATTGTGGACAGGTTTGAGGAGGCACTCTACTCATTGCAGAATTTCCAGTCTTTGATGTGGTCTTGTAATCAGGGTACTTACATGGCCGGTGCAGTTCAGTTTCAGGTCAAACTCTGAGGATATTGACAGTGGAGAATTCAGTGATGGTTGAATTGCCTTGTTGAAGGTGATCATTGCCTGGCACAAATGTTACTTGCTATTTATCAGCTAAAGCCTGAATGCTGTCCAGTCCCTTCTGCATTTGGACACAGACTGCTTCAGTATGACGAGTTACAAAATGCACCAAGCATTATTCAACAAACATTCTCACCTCTGACCTTATGATACAGAACTCCGACAGACATGTATTATGGCTGAGGTTATTGACCACCAACAACAACAATGTTCCTTTGTGCCAGGTTTGACTCCAAGCAGTGGAAGGTTTTCTCCCGATTCCTACTGATTACAGGTTAGCTAAAGCTCCTTAATGCCACATTCCGTCAAAAGATGCCTCAATGTCAAGGGCTATCACCCTCACTTCCCATCTTGGGTTCAGCTCTTTTGTCCACATTCGGATGAATGCTGATCAGGAGCTGATGGGCCTGGCACAACCTAAACCGAGCATCACCCAACACTTTTCAACCGATTGAGAGGACCGGACATGCCTGGTCAATTTTACACAGTGCCAGGTAGATGCCAGTGGCGTAGCTGTACTGGAACAGTTTGGCTAGGGCACAGCTAGTTCTGGAGCAAATGTCTTCAGTAGTATTTCCAGAATGTTTTTAGGGCCCACAGCCTTAGCAGTAAAGCAGTATCTTCAACCACATCTTGATATCACATGAAGAGAACTGAATTGGCTGAAGGCTGGCAAACATACACAAAAATATTAAACCACTCAAACAGTAAATTCAGCTGCCTTTATACACAAGATCTCATTTTGGGTGCTACCCCGGATATGTGGTTTTCTATGCATTATCTAAATGGATAAAAATACTGCAAAGACTGCAAATACCAACAAAATAATTATTCTATCTGTTCTGAGGAAGGGTCACTCAAAAGGTCAACTCTGATTTTTCTCCACATACGCTGACAGACCTGCAAAACTTTTCCAGCAATTTCTGTTTTTGTTTATGAAGTAATTATTCCAACTCAATTGCAGTTATGAAGGAAACCAACTTATTCATCTGAAATGATTAAAAAGTCTTAATTCTGCTTTTGAGCAGCTTGGCAAAGCACACTAAATTCTTGAAGAAAATAAATGCCAATGCACAACAGGTAGTACAAAGCAACTTACTTAATCTCAACTTTTTCTTCTGATTCTGGGTGGTCAAGAAGATCCCATTTTGACATGGTCATTGCTGCAAAAATAAAATTTATATTTCAGTATTTCATAAACAGAAACAGCGTCATTGTGTAAATGTAATAAATGCCTCATCTGGTTACTAAAAAATCAGCAATGTATTTTAAACCATTTAATCCATTAGGGTGGCACAGAGGCTCAGAGGCTAGCACTGCTGCCTTACAGCACCAGGGGCACGGGTTGGATTCCACCCTTGGGCGACTGTCTGGGTGGAGTCTGCACATTCTCCCTGCATCTGCGTGGGTTTCCTCCAGGTGCTCCGGTTTCCTCCCACAGTCCAAAGATGTGCAGGGTAGGTGAACTGGCCATGCTAAATTGCCATAGTGTCCAGGGATGTTTAGGTTAGGTGGTTAGACATGGGAAATGGGTCTGGGTGGGATGCTCTTCGGAGGGGCAGTGTGGACTTGTTGGGCCGAATGGCCTATTTCCACACTGTAGAGATTCTATGATTTAGAAACAGAACAAACAGCTACAGGTACAATACAAATTATTCCACAGCCATCTGCTCAAGCTACAGACACACTGGCCAGCTAATAAGTTGTATTTGGGCTCCTAATACTTAAAGAGCAAGATTTCGCCTCAAAAGGTGCCGGTCAGTAGGAGTGCTGGCAGCAATTCAGGCCTAGTAGCATCACTGGGGTAGTGACCACGATTGAAGCTCGGACCCAGCCGGAAAAAAGGAATGGCAGGGGCATTTCTAGATAAGGCAAGCAGTCAGGCGCCACCTGGTCCTAGTCCAATCAGGCAGGCCCCAGCAATGGAAAGGTGTGCCACTACTGGGAAAGTGTTTGCCACAGATAGGAAACCACAAGCCACCCATCTTCATCTCGAGCTTGCAGGGAGGCTGCCACGGATTAACAGGTAGCTTCTCCACATGCTGCAAACCTATGGTTAATGGGAAGAGACCCTTAACTGGCTACTTAATTGTCTCACTTGGCCTCTGGATGGGAGAACCATCTGCCACCTTCTCCACTGCAGGCAAAAATGCTGTGGCAATGGGAAGAAAATGGACATGCCACCCACTCCTCTTTTCTTCATGATTTTTCGGTCATAGATGCTTTTAATCTCTGGGTACAGATTTCCACCCCAAAGACTTGCATTAAGTTAATCTTTTTTAAGTTGAAAATGAATTTCCTTTTATGGTTACATAATTTTTTATATCATCTCAACTCTATCACCACACAAATGCACTAATGCAGCTTCTTGGTTAAAAACTGTATTATGCCTAATTGCTTAATTACAAGATCTCCTTGCACCTTTGTGCCATCACCTACGAACTGTGAAATTTGAGAGTATGTTTAAAGATATTCAACAAAATGTTTAGGATTACTTAAAATACGTCTACTTATATCCAAATCTTAAATGAAATATTCCGTTGGCAATTTTATTCTAAAGCTTAAATTTCTAATCAGACAACAGATGATCAAAGTATTAACAAACATTCAATTAATTTGAAATAGTGCATGATCGTATCAGCATAAAAATCAGAGTGAATTGAAAATTCATACCATGAGATTCCAACTCAGATTCATCCACAGTTTCCCATTTTGAAGGTGCAATCTTTAACAGCGGCTCTTCCTTTTTAATTACTACAAGTTCCTCCACTAAAAAAAGAAAGAAGACAGATATGTTCTTTAAAACTATCATAAACTGAATAACCTGCTGGAAGTCTGTAGATGTAACTATTCTTAGGGGTTGCCGCAATGTGAATTACAGTGCCATTTTGTTTCTTCTCTGACAGCTGCAACTATGTTCGTCGCACTCGTCAGAATCAGAAGATTGTAGGTTCAAGTCCTAATCCACGACCGAAACACAAACATCACAAATTTACACTGATGGAGGCACCATCTTTTGAATGAGGTATTAAAACTGAAGCCCTGTCTGCTCTCTCAGGTGAACGTAAGTATCCTGCAGCAATATTCAAAGAACAGCAGGAGTTTATCCTTGATGTCGTGGCAAATATTCATCACTCATTCAACATAACAAAACAAGTTATCTGCTCATCAAACAACTGTTAGTGGGAATCTGCTGTCTGGAAATCGGTTACCACACATCCTATATTGCACCAGTGACTATACGTCAAAGGATTTAACTGGCTATTAAACACTTCGGGATTTCCTGTGATTTTGAAGTAAGTCACACAAGTACTTATTTTCCTCCTTCTGTACAAGATATGGGAAATCAAGGGTTATGGGGAAAGGATGAGAAAGTAGAAGCGAGGAAAATGTTACGGATTAGACCACACCCCTTGAAAATATATTAAGTTAGCCTAGGACCTAACTTTTTCAAATTTTAGGAGAAAAGTGTAAGGTGCTGCATTCCAGATCCAATTTGATTGGTCAAACTACTCAATTTTAAGCAAAACATGCTTTTTTTTCCAAAAAAAACATTGCAGTTAAAATACAAAATAAAAATGAAAAAATTGCCTTATTTTGTAATTATCAAAATACTTAACAAAATTATAACCTACTAACTAACTGTTCTAATATAGTAACATCCCACAAACACTCCCTTGGCTTGGCAATGGCAAATTTAGGAAAAAAGGTTGTCTCACGTGCAATTCCAGCAGCAGGAAGAGAACCTCAGCTTTTAGCTGTAACCAAGAAACGAATAAGAGCTTCCACATTCAGCTTCAAGTCCCCAGCAACTGCAGAAAGTTAAAACTAAAAATCCTGGTTCTGTGGGAGCTTGACCCCACCCATTCAGGCTGCTTCTACTGTTCTAACGTTTAAAAAACTCCAAGGCCTCACAAGCTGTTTACTTTACTGGCTTTGAGCAAAACGCTTTGCGCCTCTGTTTCAACCTTTCTTCATAAAAAAAAAGGACAAAATACTCCTCTTAAACCCAGAGTAAAGTCACAAATGTCGGATCAGCCATGAGCCTATAGATTGGCTGACTAGGCTCAAGGTCTTACTCTTGTTTCAATTTCTTCAGGTCTTCTATCCCTAGTGGCAACCGTTTGATGGCCTATTATCTGGTGGTTACCTCAGTGTTATCAGTGAGACATTGCTTTGCTTCCCATATTACAAAAGTGGAAACACTTCAGAAGTACTTAAAACACATTATAGCCAATCAAGATGTCTCAAGAATTTCAATGGTACCACATAAATTCAACTTCATCTTTCCTTGGTAAAAGCCAATAATGAAGTCACCTCTGACCGAGAATATTTATACATCTTTAATTTTCAACCACTGAACATAAGTTAGAATATAGTAAACTCGGTTCCACAGTATTGAATATTGTTGAACTGCCCTGTATGAAGCTATTCAAACCACAGAATTGCAACTGTCCCTGAATACCACCAAAAATGAAAACGGGTTTAGTTTTAAATATGGAAGTTTAGTGCCTAAATATGAGAATAGTTGCAAAATAAAAGACTTTTTTTTTTTTAAAAACACAAATTAATGAGTGAAGAAATCCAATAATTTTCTCACACCATCACGGACTACTTGCTACATTGATTAATAACAGCTTCTTGGAAACATTAATTCACAAAAACTGACCAATGGCTATATAGTATGTATAACAAATTACCTTAAAACAAGTATAATTGTTAACTGTTAAAAATATCTTAAATACACAATCTTTCCAATATTGGGTAAAATAATTACCACTCAACTCAAATATTGGTATAATTAAAATAAACGTACAAGTGCCAACAATGCGCTTACCACCATTAATATTGACAAAGCTGATTTATGTGCTTACTTGGCATTCCATCAAGGTCATCCTCAACTGATTTCAAAGGAATCCCATCAATATCATCTAAAGGTGCTCCATCGAGTGGGATTCCATCAATTGGCAATCCATCAACGTCATCTAATGGAGCAATTTGGTCACCATCAATTGGTGTACCATCCACATCATCAATCACCTGAATAAACATACATTACAGGAACACAAGGAAGAGTTAATCAACTTAATACTGATACACCACATACAAACCAAGCGGTGCATACAGTCAGCTAGCAGATATACTAAGATAACCAAGTAGGTGATGGAAACAATTTTGATTCATTAAAACGCAAATTAGTTAGATTTCATTCATACAACATTTTAGAATGTAATAGACAACTAAGGCATGAAGCATGCTTCCAATGTCTATACTTGGTGATGGTTGTGGAAATAGTTCCCAAAGCTTCCCTCAGACTTGAGTGGCTGCTCGTGGACTACTGATAGCCACTAGTTTAAGCAACTGAAGTGAAATTGTGTTTTTACAAAAATTAAAATAAACATGACAGCATGTTCTGGTTGAAATTAACTGTGCTACATTCAAACATTTAAATTTATGAGCTTTAACTATTACAGGTGTACTCGTTTACTTAATGGTGCATAAACCTTATTTAAAAGCTTATATTAAGAAATTAAAGAATCAATTCTGGTTAATTAATATTTATTAACACTGTTGAGGTGCTGGTTAAAGATATGGGAACGGGGGAGGATAATTGTGGGAATGGGAGCAATGCAGAATTATTGGGGAACAAGGAGTCTTTTTGCCTCAGGATAAAGAAATGAGGGCAAGCCAGAGTATGTAGTAGTGGCAGCTAGATTTATCTAAGTGCTGAATCATAGGAATTACTATGGCAGGGTGCAGAAACATTTGGGAAGAGATCATTAGCTAAGACTACTCAATCAGCAAGAATTGAACTGGAGTGCAAGTTTGGCAACAAGAGCATAATGTGTTGAGAATCTGGGGGTAACAAAGTGGATGTGGCGTTTCAAAGTTGTGGACAGGATAGCCTAGTGTAGTACACTCTGATTTGTAACCAGTGACTGGGAGCGGGGTTATGAATCGTAACACAGTGAAATACTGCAAACAAAGGTTATGAAGTTGTGACAATTTCACACATGCCAATTCAAGTTGCAATAACAGCACATCAGACTTGAGCTCCATTACATGTAAAACATGGCAAAAGGGTAGCACAGTGGCTCAGCAGTTAGCACTGCTGCCTTACAGCACCAGGTCATGACCCGGGTTCGATTCCACCCTTGGGTGACTGTCTGTATGGAGTTTGCACACACTCCCCATGTCTGTGTGGGTTTCCTCCCACAGTCCAAAGATGTGCAGACTAGGTGGATCGGCCATGCTAAATTGCCTATAGTGTTCAGGGATGTGTAGATTAGGGAGATGGGTCTGGGTGGGATGCTCTGAGGGTCGGTGTGGACTTGTTGGGCCAAAGGGCCTGTTTCCACACTGCAGGAATTCCATGATTCTATGAGACCAAGAAATAGAAACACAGGACATAAATTAAACATCACGAAAATTAAATTTGGGACAAGTATCGGAAAAACATTTGTACACACTACCATTAACTGTTACAAAAATTTATCAAGCACGATAAAAGAGGTAAAATATTGGAATGTTGAGAATTCAAATAATGGTACATTGGTGATAGACGGATAAGCTTCAGTGAGTCAAACAGCAGTTTCCAATAAGCTAGGAACTTCGTGTTTCAAATCACCATTTGTCAAGCTTTAAGCATTTTCTTCTAATGATCTTGCCAATTATTTTCCAAACACAGAAAGCACAAAAGTGATGCCAAATAAGTTAACACCAGCTGACCCAACAGCGACTTGTAAAAATAATCTGCTCATTGCTGAGTTAGTTGATCACAGCTCCGGCTCAAAATATTATAATTACCTTTAGCATCCCATAGAGATAGTAAAGGGCTTAGCTGCTGGGTTGGAACACCAACCTTCACAATTTAAAGTTATATGTACAAAACCACTGCCAGTAACATTAGCTGACATCTCCAGAACTGAGAAAGTACATTGGAAGAGCAGAGAAGAAAACAAGAAATGTAGTTTATTCGTTATGTATTAGTGTTAAAAAGATAACGTATGTAATACTAATACATACTACAGGTCTTTCCGATAAATCGTCATCCAGTTTCATTAGTCCAAGGAATATATTCTGCAATCTTATGAGGAATGGCTCTGGGTACACTGCCCAGTCCTCCCATGCTCTAAAGCAAGTCATTATCCTTTGCTAAATGAAAACAAAATAAGGCACAATCATTTTAAATATGCTGAGTTCAGCAATACCAACTTCTTCAGTCAAATATTCTTTTAATTCTGAGCTGTGTTGAGTATGCTTGAATGAAAGGTTTAAATTACAATTAGTCTAAACAGAAAGTAGTACAGTATAAAACTTCCTGAAACATACAAAGACCTGCTGCATTTGATTACTGTGGAACAAGTAAACTAACTTAAATGAAAAATTAGAAATGCAGCAAGAGAAAGCACGTTATTATTTTTACAAAAGGGATCAGACTACTGACGGCTATTAAAATCAATCCTATGACATAAATTTAACAACTGCAGCAAATTAAAACCCGACACATAATAGGGTCTAGGCCCGAAACGTCAGCATTCCTGCTCCTCTGATGCTGCTTGGCCTGCTGTGTTCATCCAGCTCTACACCTTGTCATATCACATAATAACCATACCAATGTTTTTAAAGAAATAGGGAAGATGACACAGAATTAGAACACAATAGCTCCACACGTGAAACCTGGATGTGAGTCCAATAAAGTACCTAAAATCACCTTAGTTCCTGTTGGTCAGATAGCTTGTCTATAAGATCTGTGTGTAACTGGGATTATACAGACCTGTCAATGCTCAATGCTTTGAATCATGCATTAAAAATAATAACCTGAGTTGCCAAAGGATAATCAGTATTTATGGAATCCAATTTCAGCTGAAGTCAATGTTGCCAAGACAGAAGGTGAAACTGCAGTTTAAAAAAAAACTTTCCTTACTCATAATTGTAAGGAGCCTAAGTAAATTCAAATATGGGGACTCTCAAACTTGTCCAATGCCTCATGAAAATTCTACAACGTGGCATTATGTTCTCTTAAAAGCAAAAGTGATGTTAACATGCAAACTGGAAAAAGATCTAATTTTGATGCAACAAGGGTATTATCTTCTTTGGTTGCAGTGACTCAGATTAAAGAAATCTTAATGCTGCATCCAGTATGTGCTATTCCCAATCTTGAGATTCTTAACCCTGACCATATACATCATGCAGTGAGAAGCCACACTATTCCCCATGAGTACCATCCAAGAATATTATATAAAGAAAAGCGTCAAATCGGATGTCAGCATGATGAAATTTATGTATACAGTAG